ATAGTCCCCCACGGTGGTGAGAATGTCGAAGCATTCAGCAATGGACATGTGGTCTCGATGATGGGGGGTTTCCCGATTGGAAATGATGGAGAGGGTGTTAAACACGGATGCCCAGTACTGCAGGGCCTCCGGCATCTGTGGCAGATCCTTGCTTACTGCTATATTTCCAAGGTTTGACAAGGTTCTCAACCCTGCCCAGTACTGCTCAGGATGCATGACTCTGAGTGCCGCGGACGCGATGGCTGCTGGCCTTGCAATGGCTTTGAGGATATTCTCGCAGGAAGGTCCCTTCAATGATGCAGATACCTCCGGATCTGACACATTCTTTGGGATTGGTAAGTATGACTGCCGGAATCACCATCTCATCAGATCCTACCTCGTGTCCCTGTTGAAACCATGCCGGAGATAGATTGATGCATCCGGGAGTTGCTCCAACATCTTCTGAGCCCCGGTTGAACAACCTTTGATTAGTTCGCCAATTGCCATCAGCCCTTACACTTTTTTTGAGGCTTGGAGAGAGCAAATAGGTGGCCTCCCTGATTTCCTTCTGTAGGTTCCATTAATATTCGATATCCATCGAGTAACAATGTATATTACACACCTGGGTGGTGTCTGTCAGGGCGTCTGGGAGATACCATGCAATGATGGCACCGGATGCATCAAGAATTATTGCAGGTTCATCGACCAACCTTTTGCCTTCATGGCCAGGAGGACACCTCTCAAGCAACCTCGCCTCTTTATGTTCATTATGCCCGGTGTCCTTCGGGGAGATCAATTTGCTATATCTTGCAATATCCATCTGCATCTGAACTGTCATGCAGGAATTTGAATGATAAAACAAATTTTCCGAATCTGCAGGAAGACCCACTGGGATTTTTAGATGCCTTTATGAGTACATCAGCCAAGCGATCGCACGCCATCACCAGATCAGTGTCTAGGTTGGGGGAAGGTATGACTGGGCCTCCTCCAGTCTTCTCTGCCTTGAATTTCTGTTCGGTATATTCCCCTGCTTCATAAGTCACAGTCAGGGCCCAAGTGCGCCAGATGTTTATGCTATCAGGAGGGGAAGGGGAAGAACCGTTCATGCTGGATGTTAATCTTGGGAAATCAGACGCTGAATGCTGGATGTCCGGACTTTGGTGTTATAGGGGGTGGAGATAGAGAGGATCAGATAAGGGAGCCATGGATAATTTTGGCCGCTGTCAAAGATGTATTATTATCCATTGCTCAATGAAATACTACCTGATTGGAAGTGTGCTGGTCATCAGATATTCATTTGTCGACTCCCGGGTCCCGGTACTCGGAAGTCGGTACGGTTGACCCATATTTGAGTGGTCGGAATTTGGCGTCTCATAGGGCAACACAAGCTTTGTACTGCCATATCAGGAGATCACCTGCTGCTCCGGGAACTCGGTAACTGTGATTTATTACCTCCTCTGAGTAAGGTTGACTCGCTGGTCATCAGATATTCATTTGTCGACTCCCGGGTCCCGGAACTCGGAGGTCGGTATGGTCGACCCATATTTGGGTGGTCGGAATTTGGAGTCTCGTAGGGCAACACAAGCTTCGCACAGCCATGTCAGGAGATCACCTGCTGCTCCGGGAACTCGGTAACTTTGATTTATTACCTCCTCTGAGTACGGTTGACTCACATTTTGGCGGTCGGAACTTGGCTTCTCGTAGGGCAACACAAGCTTCGCACCGCGGATTCCATATTCTGCAAGACAACCTAAGCACCATCAGAGGCCATGTCAAGAGAGCACCTGCTGCTCTCTTCAGAAACATCTGAACTTCGGTTGGCCATTTAACATGGAAAGTATTAACTAAATTATGTGTTGAGTTCCGGGTCCCGGAACTCGGTACAGTTGACTCCAATTCTGGTGGTCGGAACTTGGCTTCTCGTAGGGCAACACAAGCTTCGCACCCCGGATTCCACATTCTGCAAGACAACCTGTGCACCATCAAAAAGTATTAACCAACTTATGTGGTGAGTTCCGGGTCCCGGAACTCGGAACTCGGTACAGTTGACTCAAATTCTGGTGGCCGGAACTTGGCGTCTCGTTGGGCAACACAAGCTTCGCACTGCCATGTCAGGAGATCACCTGATGCTCCGGGAACTTGGTAACTTTGATTTATTACCTCCTCTGATTTGGTTGATGTACAACTACCTCAGCTCCATCATGTCTACAATTATGATACACATGGGCCCACCCATCTATATTTTATACCACCCTCGGCCCACCCGTCTAATACAACATCCCATACAACACCCTCGGCCCACCGGTCTAATTAATATGCGTCTGGGCCCACCCGTATAATACAATATTTTATAATACCCTCGGCCCACCCGTCTAATTTAATATGTGTCTGGGCCCACCCGTGAATGTGATAACAAGTACCTACCCATCTATCTCATACACATCTACCTTAATACACCCATCTGCATAATATCCAGCTACCTCGGCCCACCCGTCTACCTAATATTCATTTACATCGGCCCACTCATCTACTCTATATATTCCCTGCATGGGCCCACCCGCCTCCATCGGGAATAATTTGCCTCCCGGCCCATCCGTCATAGTCGAGAATATTTTTATCATGGGCCCATGGTCCACTGGCCCGTATCATACGGGATATTATGCACGTCCGTTCCCTCGTATTATACGGAGATATGTCACTGTAGTATGTGGCAGGTTGTCTTTACAGTCAGGATCATTTACAATATGGCTTCATCGCCCTCAATCACGCCCTTCTGTGGTTTCACTCAAAGGCTTCAGACATGGAATATGACGACTATATGTATATGCTAGAAAAGGTGTTCTTTTCCAAGACACTATGTTCTTTCTGCTCAACCTTCATTTAGCTTAAGCAAGGGCCCGATGCCGCTCGAGGGGATGACACCTCAAAGCTCAAGGGGCTCATCGCAGACTGGGTCAATCAGGAATTGAAGCTGAATCCCCCAGTTGACCCCAAGGATAAACACCGATGTGGTTTCGTTAATGATGTGTGCGGCAGGCTCCTCTGCCTGACTGAGCTCGACTGGAATAACCCAACATAAGCATCTCACTTATGGTCTTCGCAACACTAACTTGAAGGACCGGTCAGTGTTAGAACCAGAATCAGGGATCACGCAGATGGGTATGTGGTGATGGAAATATCCTGGCCGGCATTCCTGTATGAAAAATACTCAGCCAATCAAGACAATCTAGAAGAGGGCCTCTTCAAAAGCACTCTCTTACTTCAGGTTAGTCATATGTCAGTAGCTCGGCAACATCTCACTTTTTAGCAGGCTTTTAAAGCCATATTCACGTCTCCCTCCTCTGCAAAGGAGGTTGTATGTGATGGCAATGGTGCTAATATAATTGAAAACAACTGACAGGCCATGAGGGATTTCAATTCAGGCAAGAAAGTTAAGACACACGTAGCACAGATTATCAAAATGCACAAAGTCACAGCCTGCTCAATTGCATATGTCTCATGTCAAGTAAGTGGTAATTTTTCCATCTTCCTTGTTGAGCACTAACAGTACGTAACAAGTTGCGATTTGCGCTGTCATCTGTGACATCATGGTGCTCAGTTGATGGCGACTTCAATTACATCCTGTTCTGGCAAAGCATTGTCGACTTCTTCGAACGGCCCCCTGGTCATATGGTGCAGTGAAATGTTGATCAACTCTTGGCCTGGTGGACAAGGTACGTATTATGCACTTGATAAGTGCTCAACTAATCTTCATCTCACAGAAAATTCTTCGGAACGAGCCACTGTGCGGAACTTACTGACAGGGAAAAGGCTAAGATGTCTGTAAATGCTCTTGCAAGGCAGAGAGCGCAATTGGATGATGCCATGTTCGATTCAGAATAGCTAATTTCTTGTGTTAGCACAGCTCCCACCTTTAGAATTGTTCTGGACATTCGATAGTACCACATTTCATCAACTTACATATAGTAGTACTCTGCCAGTTCTAATATTAGGCTTCAAACATTTATGATTGGTGTGAACCAATGAGTCCTTGAGATTGTAGTGATTACTATTGTAGTCAAGCATCATATCAATGCTACCATACCGCTCCAGTGTGCAAATCTGTGAGGTCATAAAATGCAGATCGATAGTGGTGATATTTATATCTCCTACTCATTATCTGACCAGGAGGGTGAAATATATAAATGCGGGGTAAAAAAATTTCCTACTTGTGATGCTGTCAAAAAGCACAAAGTGTGTATATGCAAGGTGACAAAAATACAGCACGAGAGTGGTGATATTTGTATGCATCATTATTCATTTCAATTACACAAAGAAAGTAGAAAAGCACAAGGTGATAAGATGAAAGTATATACCTGGGTAGTCATGATATTCTCTTTGTCCCCAGCCTTTCAATCAATGAATCCCTGATATTACCAATTGATAGCATTATTATTTGCATCGACGATGCAATAACTGAAGTTTCCAAATCCGCACACAAATGATTACCTAAGCAAGGCTCAATGGCGAGTATAGGCCTGCGAGGTTGGTGCAATTATAAAGTGTACTGACATCACAGTCACATTCCACTTACATAGGATAGTCAGAACATTCAGCTTGGCTATTCCTGCATTAAACATTGTTGTAGTAGGGAATAAAGAGACTCAATTTTACTGACGATGGCACGATCAACAAGACATCTATCAAACGGTGAGTTGGAGCTATTGCACACAGAGTAGCCAATAGTACTCCATTGACTAAAATTACACATCCAGAGCAGATGATTCAAAAATCCGTAACAGCGAATGCATTGGTTCTCACTTGAACATGATACAAATAGTCACTTCCACGAGAGAACAGGTAATTTGGCATGGAGTAGCCATAAATGGAGCAAAATTACACATTCGAAACAGAGATCCGAATGGAGCAAATAATTGGTTCTTATCTGATCAGTGCACAAATCATCTGTGTCTCCAAGATAATGTCTTTTCGTCATACCTTCCTAACTGTGAACACTGATTCGGATGTGACACCTGTGGTTCGTTAATATGAACCATTAAGCTTTGCCTCACTAACTATCTCAATTTTAAGTCAAACAAATCCATGAGCTTTTGGCAGTTTGCAAACATGTACGCATTGATTTGTAACTCCGCTTTCCTCTGAAAAGTCAAGTATGACAATGGGATAACCGGGAGCAGAATTGTACTGATGTTGGTGATTATCTACTTTATAATGTAATATATATCTTTCTCAGGATTCTCTCAGTTCACTGATGATGCTCTGTCTTTTAGAGTCAATGCTGCCAAAGGTACAGTGGCTCAAAAAAGTGTCTGAATGTTTATGCATTTTCAAGTAATTGGGCAATGGCAAGCCAGGACTCAATGATAACAAAATAATATATGGACACGTCTAGAAGCCCTATATCCTGGCTCGAATTTGAGATATTCATCGTGAGAATCCAACCATATATGGGCAAGATATGGTAATTTCAAATACATGACTCATTCAGACACTTTTTGACTTTTCATTAAAATTACAAAATCAGACCATTCATACATTATATTCTTGATTAAAGTGGTGTAATAATACTGATATGGTCTGATTTTAATATCATTTGAATATATAAACCCACATAAGATTATGACATTCAACATAATCATCATGAAACCCATCTCCTCTGCTCAAAAGGATAGTATCCTTGTTCTCTGCACCTCTGGTTTATCTACTAGGCAAATTGCCTCCAAAACTGGTCTTGGCAAGTCCACTATTGCTACAGTTATAAAAGAACACATGCCAGAGAAGGAAAATCATAAAATGGGATGTCCTCTTAAGCTTACTCCACAGAACAAAAGAGCTATTGTTCACCAAATTCTATCTGGCAAGGCTTCAAATGCTACTCAAGCTACTAAGTTCATCAATTCCATCATCTCCACTCCTGTCTCAACCCAAACTGTTAGAAACACCCTCAAGGCAGCTAATCTCAAGGCTGTAACCAAGAAGAAAAAACCTCTTCTCTCTGTAGCTCATAGGAAGAGAAGGCTAGCCTTTGCTTTAAAGCACCAACATTGGACTGTGGAAGACTGGAAGAAGGTTATTTGGTCATATGAAACAAAAATCAATAGAATGGGGTCAGATGGCCAGGAATATGTGTGGAAAAAGGCAGGAGAATCATTAGGAGAAAGAGAAGTCAAGGGTACACTGAAGTTTGGAGCAGGAAACATGATGGTATGGGATGGAATGGTGTGGGAATTCTTTGTGAGGTAGAAGGAAGGATGAATGCAGAACAGTACATCTCCATTCTAGAGGAGTGTCTACTCAAAAGCATGCAGGAGTCAGGGATTGATGAAGAAGACATCATCTTTTAACAAGATAATGACCCCAAGCACACCTCAAAACTGGCCACAAAATGGTTTGAAGACCATGATATCAATGTTCTATCATGGCCAGCACAGTCTCCAGATATGAATCCCATTGAACATCTCTGGGAATTACTCAAAAGACTACTTGCTGCCTATCAAGATCCTCTAAAGGGGCTATTTGAACTATGGGAGAGAGTTGCAGCAGAGTGGGAAAATATTGCTAAAGAGGAGTGTCAGAAATTGATAGAAAGTATGCCTAGGAGGATTGCAGCAGTTATTAAAGCCAAAGGGGGTACTAGAATTGTAGAATAGTCTTGGTTAAATATAAAGTCAAAAAAGTGTCCGAATAAGTCATGTCTTTGAAATTACCATATCTTGCCCATATATGGTTGGATTCTCACGATGAATATCTCAAATTCGAGCCATGATATAGGGCTTCCAGACGTGTTCCTATACCTCTTTGTTATCATTGAGTCCTAGCTTTCCATTGCCCAATTACTTGAAAATGCATAAACATTCGGACACTTTTTTGAGCCACTGTATGACTCGAGTTACAAAACAGCTTTTCATTGACTCTCTACAGTCTCTTACCTTCTCCGATATGATCATGGAGGACTTGACCAAGTTGAAAATCACGTGTACTGGCTTTATTCGACTGAAGCCCGATCTTGCGGAACGCATCATGGCAACTACTGCCCTCGGACATGATGAATTTTGGTCTTCCGCGTATTTGTCTCATCACTTGCATTTTTTGGGAGGTTACATTTCTAGAGTATGTCGATGATCTGTGAACCTTTATGTTACTCTCAAACTCCACCAGACTGGCACAAACGCTCCGTGCATGGATTGAACCCTTCCTCTTCCGTGCATCTGCAATGTTGCCATCAAATACGTGCATGGTACTCAGCATGAAATGGGATGTTCCAGCCACGATTGTCAGCCTGTCAAGTTTGTCAACCCTTTCTGGAATTGTAGATTACACTGCCACAGTAGCAAGTCAACGTGACACTAGTGAATCTGCCTTGACTTATTTCAATCGCACCGCTAATTTTCTCATTTAGATTTCTATGTGAATGGTATGAGTCCTTGCGAAATGAAGACGAATATGCCACGGAGCTTCTTCGTTATGGACGCTAAGCTTTGCAATCCCTCAGACAATGTTCCTCAGGCAGTATGTAAGATGTTCACATATGGAAAGTTCTTCGAGTAAGTAAATTCTGTCAACTTTTTGATTCAATTTTCAATTTGCTATATCTTAGGCAGAAAGTCATCCGCGGTGCTCTGGTCAATGGATCTGACTGAATCTTCATCCTCATGACGCTCAATGACAATTATGACAGAGCCTCCTATAAGCAATCTGTCGTGCTCTCCATGGATCCCTACCACACTCCCGATGACCAGCTAGTGAACCCTGAGCTATGGCCCGATTTAATTGCTGCTATTTTGGCACATTGGGTCAGTTGATTCTAACATGCGTGATTGGATTGCTGATTGATTGGGATGCTAGATTGAAAATAGCTTTGCAGACCTGGGAAGTGATGATTGGTTTGAACTGTCACTGTAGGTCATGATACTCTGTACAACGTCTTGTGTCCATTCAGATCTTGAGATTCTTGACCAATCGCCATCCTTTGCCTTAGTTTCAGCTATGTGAATAGGTTGATCGATGTACAATATTACTTCAGTGAAATTTCCTACAATATTCGATGAGGGATCCGGGTAAGGTATGTCAGACGGATTCATTTTGGAGCACAAGTGGCGTGCGCACATGGCAGTCACGCGAATTTCGAAATCACCCCTGTCTCTACATATGTAGACCATGAAGATGATTTATCAGCAGCCGGATAACACGATGCGAGAAAATTAGCAGTAAGATCACCATTTCACTAGTATATATAACCCATCATCATAGGCTTTACTTTCTCCTTCCAAATTATTGATCATCTCTAGCTCAGACACAGAGATGCCGAACTCGAAGCACTTCACAGGTGCCTCCCACACATGTATCGTGTTATCGTCCCTCATTGCTGGGATTCCAGGCTATGGAATGCACACTTCCCAAGCCGTGACCTTCCAGTACCTCTACCTATGTCGCGATGCCAAACATAGACATTGCAATCTGGAAATGTTTTGTGAGTGCGAACTAGCAGGACACTATGAACATGGTTATACCTTCACTCCCACTAATGACAAAGTTGCCATCGATGCCACCAATGCAACTGCAGATGACATACAAGCAGATATTTCCGTCTCATACTGACGTCGTAGATCATCAAGACTTTGTTGTGGTGAAATTCCCAATGCTCCATCCCAAGATGTACGTCGACGCAAATCTTGCGGATCTGAACATCATCAAGCTGGACAAGAGTTATCACGAATGTACAGTATGAAGATATGTCAACGAGCGCACCTAAATGATAAGTGGAACTCCTCCTGTTTTGATATAGTCTGCATGGAGCTAGATCATTCCGCAGCACCGCCAGTGTAGCAATTTGAGATATATGTGCTTCCCAGTGAGTGAGGAACTGTGCATCCTAAAAATAGAGCTGTCGGGAACTGAGGAGCATATCCATCATACTCCGTATAGCACTTAGTTCTCGCTTAGTGTTAGCAGAAGAAGTCTGATGTGTCATCATAGTGTGTTGTGGAAACACATCATGACACGATAGGACAGCATTCATGTTGCCGCATGGTTCTGGAAATTGTGTGGATCTTCAAGAATATTGAGGACCATGTTCTTTGCATGTGACACCTGCAGTGGCTGATATTCCGCTGCTGTTTTAGGCTGGAGATGGGCATGAAGTGCTCTACATCACATTGAGAAGTAGTTTTGGGCTATTCAAGCAGTATTGCACCCAAGAAACGAATGTAGTACACATTTGACGCCACATGCTCCTAGCAGGTGCGATGATGATGGACAGCCCACAACCAAATAATTTCTCCAGTAGTAGTAGCAATGAGGCAAGGATGGTCAGCTATCGAGCTGCCTTGCTTCTTCATTATATCCATCACAGCCTACCAATCTTGAGCCTAGATGTAACAGTTTGGATTGAAAGAACTGACAGCCGATAATGACAATCTTCTCAGCTCCTGATTGAAGGTGATGAGAGGACCAGTGCTCATTGATCCATTCTGCAACAGCGAGAAATGGTAATGGCACGCAGTGGACATAACAAACAATGAGTGAAATGTGAAACTGTACTTGCAAGGATGTATGAGGTGCACCCGAAGTCTCCAAGTGGGAGGGGAGGATGGAGGAGGAAGATCACTCTCTGACTCGGGAAGGTAAGCTTGAGTTATTAATCCTGCTACCCCAAGACAATCTACAGCGCCGAGGCCGAGTGCATGGGCCAGGCAGCGGCTGTGACATGATCAATACGCGAGAACTGAAGGAGGGAACCCAGCTGTGTTTTTCAAGTTTTGCCCAAATACTCAAATAGTTTTTATTTTGTATTCCCTAGTAGCTACTAAACCATAGGGGAGGATCACTCACAGTATGGCATAAGAAGGATAAGGCTAGGCAGCGACATGCACATACCACACCATGATCACAATATTTGCATTTGTCGATGTTCATTGAGTACTAGGTATCATTTACCACAAGTTTGGACAATCAATGTGGATGCCTATCTGTCTGGTCCTGAGACTACTGCGGCCTTCTTCCATTTGATGGGCTCAGTCTCCGCATGATAAAGTGACCATAAATCGAGAGATTTCAGGTGGTAGACAGCCATCAATCGGGGCTTGAGAGATATTATAGGGAGTCAGATGACGGTGTATATGTAGCAAGGAGATATATGATGGTTGATCGCCTGCGAAAGTTCAAAAGGTTGAATTCAAAGTTCATCCGGTTTAAAGCGACGGAAGCAATAGCCATCAATGATTCTGAATGAAAGAGTAGATGTGATATGAAACACAGAGTACATGTTATTACCTGACAGTTATAGCAGGAATATTATGATAAATCATTGAGAGTGCTGGTAAAGGTTCCAGGACCCTGTTAAGGGTACTGGTTTCGCTGGAGGGACATGAGTACCCCCGATCATACTGGATCTTTTATATTATTTGTTGATGTTTGGTTGTGGCCATGTTTTCATTTAGGCTGCTCTCATCTTTTCCCTTCTTACGACTGACAGATAAATATCATGGCCTGCTCATCCTCATCGTCTCGTTCTGGTCTAGATCTCCTTGCTCGTCCTGTTGCGTTCGTAGTGTCTGATCAAGAACTTCCCAATGATGGACATTCTGTTGTATCGTCATGCATTTTACACAAGTATTTTGGGTATCATGGGGTATCTCGAGATTGTCTGTCTGTAGTCTGCCAATTTCCGTCTGGTGATTTGCTCCCAGTTACTGCACCAAGTTTGGGCCACATCCTTGAGCATTTTTTTGTTTTCACTCGCGAGCAGTATGCTGAAATTGCTCGCGCACACTCAGTCAGGTTTATCTCAGTTGATTATAAGGACCATATTTGTGATCTCCTTCGGGTGCATGAATGCACCAGACAATGTGCACTGAATCTCATCGTGTTTTGGCATCTGCGTTCTCCCAGGCATGATATTTCTCGTGTGGTGCTGCCACCTCCTTCTAAATCTGATCACTTGGCACATCAGGAATGCAGTTCGCCGTGCTGCACATTCCTGACGTGCGGAGGTTCAATGTGACCATAGCATTGATGCCATACACTCTGCAGATGAATCGACAGATGAGGACAGTTGATGATGATCCTGAGTTTCCGACCATGCGTACATTTCCTGAGAAGGTAGATATCATTAAGGAATGGCAACACGAGATGAGCTACATGATGCAACAAGCGCGGCATATGCGCTGTTTGTGCTCATAATGTTTGCATTAAACAGCTGAAAAGTGTCAGTTCATCTCAAGTTCCCTTACATTTATTGTGCAATGATTGTCTGCCAGTGCACATTTTGCCCCACTTGCATCCAAAAGGCTTGTATGATTGCTGGGCAGTTGGGGCTCTGCAGATGTGTCATCAGTGTCATGCAGCTTTGATCAATAAACATCCACATCAACCTGTGAACTCTCTTGCTAATTTCCAATATTATGGACATGAAAGGTTGCCCCCTTCTGTTGCTGATGTGTTTGCACGAGCATCTATGTATGATTTAATGTTCATTTCTCATGTGTGTGCATCACAAATCATACATTTTTATGCTCACAAGCCATCTGGGCATTGGGTGCCTGAGGAAAGCTCTCAGTGGTATAATCAAGGAAATGTTGCTATCAGACCCCAGGACTCTGTTGGGTTGTAGAATAAGCTTCCACCTAGTGAGGATGAATTGCGCGATGTAATGTGCATGATCTTTGCTGGTCATCAGGAGAAACCTTTGCGTGCAACTGTCAAACAGATGTGTCCAGTTTTAGTGACCAAATCTGTAGTTAAGACACTGATTGAATTTCTAGTCGCAAACAATCCTTGGTATCAGCAATGTGGTGTTTTGTATAGCCAAGAGAATAAAATCAAAGATGACTCCATTGATCAATTCCTTCCTTTGGAATCACACAATCCAAGTATTTCAGACAGCATAGATCCTGGCGATATTACCATGGAAGCGATAGGTTTTACCAAGGGTGACCATTCAGCAACGAGTCAAGAGAAAATTCAACTTCATGCGTTGGTGCATGTATTAGATCATAACAAGTTCATATTGTCAAAGGCGGGCTCATCCTTTGTCTCTGACAGCGATCCAGGCTTGATGTCTTTTTTATTTCTGCACTTGGATCCTTGGGATATCGGTGGATTTAATCATAGTGGTTGTACATGTCTGCAACATATCACAATAGAAGCGCAAGTCAAAAATTTATTGCATCAGGACAATTCACCTTTTGTCAGAGATCCCAATTTCGTGTTCATCTACTGGAACATGATCCAGAAAAAAGAGGTTAGCACAAACATCAATTTTAGAATCAGGGCATCTTTGCAGCACACTCTGGCTGAGGAATTAAGAGATGTGGGACCTTCCCTTATGAGTTTGGTGGAGAAGTGCATCAGCAAACTAGAGGGGTCTTGTACACAACTGTACAAGCTTGTACAGGCTTGTACAGACCCACAGAACCCACAAGGAAGTCCCTCCTTTACAGGCCTATACAAGGTGTACAAGGGACCTTGTGCAGCCTGTAAAGCTTGTGGATTTCGAAGCACAAATGCTAAAAGGAATGTCACTAGGGTGTGTTACAGTCACATCACATGATCAACTTCAGCACATTATAATGTTCAACTGACAGGAATTGAACCCAACACATTAAACAATTATAGGTGCAGCATTAGTTACCTACTTGGCCACAAAACCATTTATATATCCCAACAATAATAAGATTATATACCAATGTCACATGACAAAATGCGAAAATTCCACTAAGTCCATCCACTCAATTATCACACCACAACACTACCATTCTATTTACTGCTACATAAATTCTAGTACAGTGGCTTAATATAATTGTAATTGAATGATCAACTGCTTTATTTAATATATCTACATATCTTATTTCACTCAGAGCCAATAGATTTTGTACAATAGAAGATTAATATATATATCTCATCTGCTTTCCCCACACTTTGATCACTTTATATCACCAATTATGAAGCAAAACCAGGGCTTCAATATGAGCCAACATTCATCAAATTTGGTCCACAGGATCCAGAGATATCACAATTTTAGTATTTACAAGAGGTTTAATCAAGTCAAATAGCACATATCACAACTATACTACAACAATATATAGTAGATTAAGGATAGTAGAGACTAGAATAAGGTTAGAAAACTAGTAATTTCAGTAAGTCTTTGTACAGCTTGTACAGCTTGTACAAATTGTACAAGGTGTACAAGGTGTACAAGCTTAGTCAAATTATAATTAGCAAAAGATAGGGATACTTGCTAAAATTCACATATTTATGTTGGTTTGTATTATCTATAGACATTAGTAGCATTGGTGATGTGATATTTTATTATATGTCTGTGAAGTTTGTGAGATATGTGATGCCTTGTGGCACCTTGTGGAACCTTGTGTGGTCTGTGACACCTGTGACAAAATCAATAGTTTGCTGATGTGGACATGTTCTGTCAATGCAAAGCCATCTATGACTCAGGAAAAGAAAGCTGCAAAACTTTTACGTCGTTTACATGCATCGGCAAGGTCGTTGAAAGGTAGTGCAGGATATAAATTGTGTCATTGCAATGAGATATGCTCTCTGATGAAAAAATTTAGTACTCCAGCATTGTTCATCACTGTCAACCCTCATGATCTTACAAGCGGCATGATTCCCATCCTTTTGGAAATGGGGCTTGAGGAATGGTCTTTGATGACATCATTTCGATCTCCAAATTCAAGCATTTATCAACATCATATTGTGATATAAACATGGCCCAGGCATTTTCGGACATTGCCAAATATATTATGGCATGGTAGAGGCTCAGGGAAGAGGCACTCTTCATTGTCATTTTCTTATTTGAATCAAAGGTAATCCGAGTCCCCAGGCCTTGCATGATCGTATGGCAGCTGAAGAAGGATTCTCAGCAAAAATGTTTGATTGGTTGGAGAGCATCATAAGTTGTGAGCTACCACATGACACTGGACCGATACCAGAGGTATCTCCGGACCAGGCTCGCAAGCCTGAATGGGATATATCACGGTCATGGTCACTCTACAGTAGTCCACGGCCATTCTACTTAGCTCACAGTCTCTTTACAGTATCAGCATTGCGCCAATGTACTCCGTTCCGTGCGGAACAGCTCAGTTCGGATATTTACGGACTTAGTATCTCACTGACGTGTTTACTATACCCGGTCTCATTCCTATGTTTCACCTTACATTATCACGTTCTAGATACTTATATGTGGCTCGGAGCTTTGTACCTCTTTTCCTCGTCGAATCAACGCCAGTATCTGGCCTCTCTTCTCCTCTCATCTCTCTGCTTGTCTCTGTTGCTCGTTGAGCGCCCGTTACAGGATAATGGAGAGATGGATCCCTGATTAGAAATGCCTCCACAAAGCACATATCTCATGTAATACCAAGAATGATGAAGCAGAGTTCAGCTGGCAGCACCAAAACCATCGTCAAAATGAAGACAGGTAAAAAGTACATTAAGATGCTATGAAGACTTGACCGTGAGATATGACTATGGCATTTCTTGTGCCAGGACGAAACTGCTGTGATTGATCGTAAACATTATCACCTAAGAGAGCATGTAAGAATCACACAGAGGATTGATAGGATAGCAGGTTTGGCTATGACTGATTGGTAATCGGAGAAAAGGAAATATAACAGAAAGAGTGCAAAGAAGGGTCCTGGGATGCCCAGCGGGCCGTTGTATAGTACTTATAGGCAGTGAATGTTGTACACGACATTGGACATATATGGGAAGCTGTTTAAACCATGTGGACCGGGTAAAGGCTTGATCTACATCTACGACGAATGACACCAAAGTTATACAGTGTTCTTCACGATCCAGTTCCTAATAAATGTACTGCTCAACTTTGTCTGCTTCAACATCTCCATGTCCTCATGGTCCAGCTTTTCGCTTTCTGAAGAAATAACATCAATGACGAATGTACGAAGGGGAGGCAATGATTCGGCGGAACGTTTTTTGTCAACTGTATGAGAGTGTCAGTAAATATTTTCAGAGAACCGTTAGAGTACCCACTTGACTCCGCGCCAGGTAGAGTCTCCACGCTGACTACCAGCGCCTGGATATTAGGATCCCAACCGGTAGGTCCATACACATCCCGTATGGCAACAAGTTCATACTCAAGGTCAGGACGGAAGAGTTGCAGGAAAGAGCGTGTTTTTTCAATGCGTACGGCCATTGACTCCAAGACATGCTTATTCGATTTATTCTTCAACAGCTCATCATCTCGAGGATAAGTTCAGTCGCAGGAGCGACAGGTTGCAAGGTATTGTCATACCTGTGATTCCGACAATGACCTTACTACTGGCTATCCAGGCTGCCATGCTGAGCAGAATTTTGTGTCCTGCATGCAAGTGATCGAAAGTACCACCAAGCGCGACGACGGGATATGATGATGGGGAGGTATCACAGCTAGGAGTGACACGTACGTGCCGGTGAGCTTCAATGACTTTATCTGGAACGACAAACACTTGGGGAAGGGTCTCAATAGAGTCGGGGAGATGGACTACAGGGGGGTCTTGATAATTCCGCCATGAGTATGTACGGAATGAGGAAATGAGAGGAACTCACCGCCCTGGATTCGAAAGCACATATCCATACTATTCCCGAAGTTACTTGGGAAACTTCCTGAAGGGTCCTTAAGCATGACGCTAATGTCTAGTAAAACCTTTCCCAAGTCTTGGGCTGCCTTGGTTGCTTTGACATAGACGTATGTCAAAAGCCTTTGGACATTATCCCACTGTTTTACGCGGTTGGATGGCGATTCTGCTGTACGGAATAGCTGAGAAACCAAGACGATGACCAAGGCCTCTGTGGTAGCCGCGGTGACAGAGGCGATTGCTGAGCCCAGATGATGAGGAGCGGCGATGTCATGTAGATGGGCAAATAGGACAGTGCGTTTAATACTGCTCATGCTAGAAAATACACTGGCACGATGCTCTCAAGGCTTAATGCCTTTGTTGTTTCTTATCCATTGGCTAATGATAGCGAACTTGAATGACACGATCGTGGTCACTGCTCTAAACGTGAGAATAAATTTCTTTTTCCAACCGCACACAGCGTGCACATCGTGTTAACACCGACGCTCTCAACGTTCTCAACGTTCTACTCGAGTCTTACACCTTCCTTTCTCTACCGCGCTCACCGTTCTCACTAGTTGAGACATTTGACCAGAATTGTTCCAAGTTGCACTCTATAGAGTCACCAATTAATAACAGCGGGCGGCCAGCTTCTGTCAAATAATATTTCCATGGCTTCATCGCCACAGTTCTCACTTTCTTTCTCCCTATCTTCCTCGAGCTCTGCCAATGCTCCAAAGAAGCAGAGTCCTGCTCACTTACCATTACCGTCATCAAACTTCAGCGCTGCCCCCGTACAGCGCCTTCAGGACAGCGTGCAGGCTCTTCAAAGGTCTGCAAGCTTGGGTTCAAAATCAGCAAGTCTACACAATCGTTCCATATCTAATGCTGCTACTCTCAAACCAGCTTTTTTGCCTCGTGGTCCCCGAGACTATCCCTTGTCATCTCCTCCGACTGTTACCACCTTTCAACTACCTCAAATCCCAATTCCAAGTACAACTCATGCAGGTGGCATTCTACCCTCCTCCTCATTCTTTCACCCTTCTAGACCAGTCCATTCTCGCCCTTCATCATCCATATCCTTGACCTCTAATGATATCCTTCCTAATTTCCATTCGGCTCCCCCCGATCAACACCCTTTATCTAGCTTGACTACCCGTATCTCTCACGAATCTGACCTGAGGAGCTATGGCGATCCTGCTTCCATAAGAGATACAAATGGTCAACTATCTAAGCGGCTAAAGCAAAGTCGTGAACCTCTACTTCCCCTTAACAACAAGCACGTCGTTGCAAGTGCTAGCGCCCCCGTTCGCACCTCCATGCACTTAGATCCTTCTTACAAGATAACTAGTACAAATCGAATGCGAACCAGTTTCGAACGCATGTTCCGCGGCCTCAGCTTCGATAGCATACGGAGATCTAGTAGTAGCCTCGGCCATACTATGAGCCCTCGCTTATCTTATGCAGAAGAGCAGCCACCTGTCGATAACTTATCACCCCCTCCACACTGTGTAAAATCTTCTCCTTCTCCGCCACTCATTCGCATTGCTTCTAGCAACTCTCGATCATTCTCTCCAACTCCAAACCATGTCTTTATATCAGTCCCTCCCGATAATCATGTGCCACTCTCTGCGATGCCCAGCATTCCTATGCAACGCGTATACCAGCGGCATCCTTCAAACAATCGATTCTTTTGCAGCGGCCGGCTGCTTACAGGTGGTGATTCTCCTTGGGCTTTCATTGCGTCTCTCACACTCGTGCTTGGTCTATCTGGCGTCTGGTTTGGAACAACATGTGTATGGTATTGGCATAATGCAAGTCCCGCTGTCGCAGCAGTGGGAGCGTACATGACCTTGTTGACTGTATCCTGCATGCTGACTACGGTGCGTAATTAAAATCGTTCATGATGCTACCGCCCACTCAATGAATTTGAAGGCCTGTCGTGATCCTGGCATCTTACCTCGCAATTTAGACCCAGATCCGCCTTTTCCTCCTACGTCACCTTCAGATGATGCTGTCAGGCAACCTTTACCCCGGGATCTCAAAGTACGCGAGGAGAGGTGAGTAATTTGGTCTCTAGTAAGCCGATGTGTGTGATGAACACATGTTTAGTGTGCATACCAAATACTGCTTGACGTGCAAAACGTATCGCCCACCTCGCTCTAGCCATTGCAAAATGGTGCGTGGTTTTGTTATCTTCATAATGAGCTGTTACACAACTTCTGGCAGTGCGATAACTGTGTCGATGGGTGTGATCACCATTGTCAGTGGGTGAACAACTGTGTTGGACGGCGCAATTACACCTTTTTCTTTGCGTTCCTGGTGTCTGCTGTAAGTATTGTGAAACTTTTCCCGGCCAGCGTAAGAGTAATATTTTCCTAGGTGTTGACCCTATGCCTCGTCATCTGCACATCCGCCCTACACCTCTATCTTCTTACTCGCCGAGATGGCATCAAATTCAATAGTGCGTTGAGGGAAGGCGCAGGCAGTGCCGTGGCATTCTCGTTGGCTATCACTGTTGTATGGCCAGTCACGGCCCTCCTCGTCTATCACATGAGGGTGAGCTGCAAACCCATCCTTCCATACATAATGGTTCGCTCACTGAAACATATGACGCAGCTATTATTGCTAAACATTACTACTATTGAACAAGTGGGTCGCAGACATCAATGGTCCCTGAATTTTACTGATGGTATAACACAGATCAGAAATCAAGCGCACAAATCTCTTATACCAGGTCCCGCTCCCCCCAACCCATTTTCATATGGCTCATGGCGACACAACCTCATGGAAGTGTTGTGCCGACCAGCAGGATTTTCATGGCTCGATGCTCATGCTCCTGTTACTGAAGATAAGCGGCGGATAAACCCTGGACTTGAGGATGCTTGCCCTAGGTGGGAAGAGACAGACACTAGAAGAGCCGGGGAAGCGATTTGAAATTGGAATTACTTGCATCCCCTGCAATTCGATTTTTGACTTGCGCTGCGCTTCCAAATCCGAGGTGACATGATATACCTTGAGTGTGAGCAAACTATCAATGGTGCGAAAGGAGGATTTTTGACCGCGGAAGTCATTATGAAAAGTTGGTTGAACGTGGATTCATGTGAACTTCTGAGTGGTCGCTGTCAGCATGTACGTACAACTCTATAGAGGGGCAGTGCCAGAATTGAGTCAGCGAAGGCGCCGCCATCAGAAGTTCATGAGGACAGAGCGTAGCGTGTGTACGGTTGTAGCCCCAGCGCACATGGATCTTGTGTAAAATTAGTGCCTAAGGTACAAGAATAGCTAAAGGGGCGATGAGCACTCGATCGAGCAGCGATGTCATGCTGGCCGGAGATTGAAATTGTATCGGAGATTGAATATGATGATACGGCACTCCATGCCATCACCCTCATACTCGCATCTCAAGTCGTCAACCCCTCACGCGGGTGTACAGAAACGCAGTCAAGGTGCGAAATCAACATATTGTAGGCGGGCGATACGTTCCACTAACAAAGTTGTTCGGCTGTTCAGACATTTAGTCACCGGCTCTGTAATTCACTGTACGTATAACCTTCGGTTGTATGCCATTTCGGAGCAATTCAGGCTGGTTACAGTAGCAATTGTTATAACCGGTTGACGAATGGAACCTGCTACTGTACGAGACCCAGCAAACGAATCGCAGTCAGTGCCGCAGCAGCCGAACCCGCAATCTGCAAAGCCGTCCTCGAGAAAGACACGGCAGAAGAAACAAACAAATTCTTCGGAATCTTCGCGCCCCGCGCCGAACTCCTCTAACTCCCGCCGACCATCAGGCCGACGGAGCAACAATAACGCTACTACCGTTGAGAATCCTCAAACAACGAGCGCTGGTACGGAATTTTTCTTTCAACATCCTTCGATCGTGATTATTCACACTGCTCCGTCAAGCCGCTCGGCCTGCTATTGATCAACATCAACAAGACGCTGCGCGTTTTCGAGGCATACCGCTCCCTTCCTATCCAGCTCCTCTCCATTACATGATGAATCACAATTACCACCCCATGAACCCATCCCCTTTCACCCAACAGCACCCCACTGGAGGCTATGCCCCAACCGGCTCCGTTAATGGCGCGACCGGCCCTGGTATGTCCAGTCACTCTACTCAGTACTATCCTATGCACCCGACATATCCTCCCGCTCCGCACGGCTATGCACCGTATTATCCTCAACAAATGATGATGTACGGTGCACCCCGTTCGAGTACGTCAGTGCCAGAACAGGCGCAGCCATCTAGCGCACCATCGCCCGTACCGGCCTCCGCTCCTGCGGTGATCGGTAAGCGGAAAAGAAAGTTGGAGCCCTCACGTAGTAAAGTGACCGTGGAGAAGGATTCGGATCAAGAAGGCCCGTCGGGCAGTGATGTTCCGACAAAACGAAGCACTCCTCCTGCTACTACGCCGACTACGTCTGATTCGAAGAAGCGTACAAAAACACAAAGGGCATGTGATAGCTGCAGAAGTCGCAAAATAAGGTGCGGCTGAGTTTTTCCCTTGGTTTTGTCTGACTCACCCAGTCGTCTTTTTTGTTTCTGTCAGATGCGACGTTCTTACGGATTCGGAACCTCCACTGTGTCAGCACTGCAAACAATATGGGTTTGAGTGCACATTCTTCCTGCCCATAACAGAAACGCGTTTCAAGAAGAAGAAAATGGAAGAAGAGGCCGCAGAAAAAGAAAAAGACAAGGAGAAGTCCACGGACACTCGACGAAATACGTTGTCTCCTCAAGCTGAATCTGGGGATCTAAGAGTTTTTGGTTGGTCTTATGTACCTCGTAGTTTTTTTCTTTGATCTAATTTTGTTTCAGGACCGACGGCTGCTGTACATCTTCTGCATTCACAACCTATAATTTCTTCCCGGATGTACGAGTCTTATGACCAACGTTATCACCACACTTGGGAAGTATCGAAAAACGGTGACGGTGTAATCTCCGTCCAAAATGTTCCAGGGGACGAGAAACAAGTTTCTCATCCAAAGCCCATCGATTTGCGACTCGAACCCGAAGTCCTTCAAAACCTTCTTAATGCTTATTTCAAAGAGATTGCTCCTCTTTTACCTGTTGTATCACAAACAGAATTCCTGGCGAATCCTTCCCCTTCTCCCATTCTCTTGTATTCGATGTGCCTGGTTGCTGCGGCAAGGAGGGAGGTACCGCAGAGTGTCTTTGACTCTATTCGATATGCAGTCAATAGTGTGATTAAGGCTGAAGATGTTTTGTCTACAGCCTCTATCGCGAACGTGCAAGCCTTACTTATTCTTAGTATGGTGGGCGATAGCCATTCTCAATTCGTTCCGAATGCTCTTTCGGCGCTCTGGATTCGGTTGGGTACTGCAATACGAATGGTAGGTTTCTGCGCTGTCGAATTGCTTTGGGTTCTGATTGAGCATGCCAGGCTCAAGACTTGGGGCTTCACCGAGCCGAGTCAGTCAAACAGAGTGTCGAGCTGCGAAGACGTTTGTGGGGTGCATGTGTCATTTGTGACAGATGGTATGGGTATATTGGAACGAGTTCATCAAATGCTGACTGTTTTGGAAGGACAAGTCTGACATATGGTCACCCGTACATGATTGATGTACAAGACTGCGATGCTAGGCTTCCCTCATCTGGCGATCCCAATGATTTATACATGGATGAACTCGTCAGGTTGAGCGTGATACTGGGAAGGGTTCTTAAGACCATCTACAGGTCCGTAAATATTGTTTTCTGTTATCACTGTGGGGTTTACTTGCGTGACTGTCTGTAGCCCGTCTGGCCTCATGTTCACTACGGATGATATGCTGTACAGCCTACTGTCCGACCTCGAGTCATGGAAGAAAAACCTTCCAGAGAACTTACAGTATCGTGGTTCTGACACGCCTCAAGATGCCGGTATGTGGCCGCTTACTCTTGATGCTTCTTGATGAAAGTCTAATTTTAATTTTCCAGGGCTCTTGCACCTCCTGTACTGCTCGGTGTGCATGATCTTCTGGCGGGTCTTCATGCGTATACACTATGCTTGCCCCGCACATCTGAAATTCGGCTTAACCGTCGAGACATGGACTTCTCTAGTTCAATTGACCAGTGAATCAATCGATTGGCTCGATACTCACGAACGAATGTATGACGTTTGGCTTCTAGTCCCTTACGCGGCAACGTCCTGCGCACTTGTCCAGGTTTGTGCTTATGTGGTTCGTATAGTCTTGTGTTAATTGTATTTTAGTACCATACATGGGCAAGGCGGCAAGATGCTGAAGCGGCTACTAAGCTTAGAAAGCTTCGGGATTGCGTTCGGAGATGGGAAGGTTCCATTTCTCCCGACCACATGTCTGCCCGACGAAAGGTAGCCCCCGACTTTCCCATGCTATCTCTCGGCATCATTTGATTGATTCGTGTTTTAGACAGCCGAGATTATTGCTCTTCTGTATGAGGCCACTCAGGGACCCCCCCCTCTTGATCAAGCACCTGTATTGAATCCCACAGGCGGCGTAAAGGGTAAACGGGCATTGATCGGTCTGGAGTATAAGAAAGATCCTTCGCGTCCTGGTGGAGGATTCTTTGTTGCGCATGGTGAGGCTCGCAGTGGTGATTACGAGGGTGTACCTCGGGGGACGATCGTGACGTCATCTGATGATGAAGCAGAAGGTTCGTCTTAATGCAGCGACTAGAATCCATGGACGCGACTAAGCTGGTTGATTGCTAGCGGGGGTCACCGAGAATTCGCAGCGCTGCGGGTCATCGATGGTCACTATAACCCCACTTCCATCTACGCGTGGTGATGGGGCTAGCTTCCCTAATATGAACCCTGTTTTAAACAGTGTCAAGAGGGACACGCCTAGTAGCGTGCAAGTTCTTAACGTGCTTGACGTTCCTCAAGCATCAAATACGCTGGAGCAATTTGCGATGGCCGATGTCGGCCTCCTTGAGGGAATTCCTGGAGGTATGTTTGACTGGGGTATGTCCTCCGTTGAGCTCTAAAATGCGTGATGGTGTTTTAATTGGGTATTAGGTCAATGGGACTCGTTCTTCTCTCGGTTCAATCCATCTGTCACTGGTATTGAAAATGCAGGGGGACAACGACAAACAGAGGTAAACTCACCGTCGTCGATGGTGCAGTCTGGTCAGGTCACACAGACTCTATAGTTAGCATGGACACGGCATTCCGCATTATGCCTCATGCCAACGATCATTATGGTTCCGAAGTATGGAGGAACTTTCTATTTTATTTTGATTGTATTCTGTCTTCTACTTGTTGTTTCTTTCGCTAGTTAAACTAGTGTGTGTTTTTATAATCTAAAAACCCTGCGAACTTTGGAATGACATACATACGCCACACTGTATCTATTATGATAATTGTTGGATCGTAACGGCAGCTGGTTTGAACTTTGAATTCTCCACCAGGTGTGAACGTTTGACACTAGTACTGAAGAAGTGAAATGATCACATGATACCATGCGCAATGGATATCTAATTAATCTGTTCTCGTACCAAGCATCAAACTCTGGTCCTACTAGGTTGCGACGAGGGACACTCGGACTGACTCGGCTTGCATGATGTAAATCTCAATCGAAACATCAAGGGTGCGATCGGCGATCGTGAGTCACAGCGTCGCCAAGTCGCTGCCAATGTTCCGCGCTAGTACTTGTGTTTCGACACAAAACACAACACATACTTGTATGTCCAGCCTGGTCCAGATTTCTCATTGGGTGAATGGACGAGGTGGAGTGGGGAAGAGAGAAAAGGTTCAAGGCGAGATCTATTCGACCCTGAAGGGCTCAGACCATTTTGGTACAGAAGAATAGAAGCAAGACCGTTTCCGGCGGATCACTCACGTTTGAGAACTCCCGCAACCCACTATAGTACTTGATGGACAGACCACTCTTTCACTTTCCTCTTGCAGATCCCAGGAGGGTCTAAAAAAATAACTAATAGGCCGCCAGACAGTTGGAATGAAACCTATCTTGGTCGGAGCACCAAATATCAACCGAACGTATGTTTTCTTTCAAAACTTTCATGTCAATCGTTAACAGTGCATACTAGACTTATCATAATAATCGCTGGTCGTTTACATCACTAGTGGTGCTTTCTTATGGAACAAATTGCCAGCAATTCTCCAAAGCAACCACCGAGAATCTCACAGCTTCTTCCTACTGTAAAATGTTCAAGCTGCTTGCAGCCAGTCCCGCTCGCTGACCTCGGTGACCACGTATGTTCACCACAACCTCCTTTTACCTTACCGTCCCTTCAGAAACCGCCCATGTCCCCAAAATCAACAAACTCGCTTCTACCACAGAGGTTGCAGAATATTCTTGTTTCTAATAGGGCCGGGGCGCTACAACAGCAACAACCCGTTACTTCCCGCACCCCGCCCCCTCATGCTCATCCATCCAAGTCTTCACAACATGATCCTTTCCAGCGAATACCCCCAACTGTGCATTATAATCAAGGTGCTACTCGCATTAACAGCCCGGCTAGTCCTCCGATACCACAATCTATTCTTCTCAACGGAGGAACATCAACTAATAAACCCCATGTTCGTTTTCCAACTCAATCTGCTCCAGAGCGTGCCACTGCTCCAATTCGAATAGCAACTCCTCCCGTAACCACCAGGATCCACACTCCTTCAAATAAGGGAAGTCCTAGTTCCAGATCACCCCTTAGCGTGTCATCTTTCCCCAATCCTTTTGAAGATGACCCACGTCAGTCGGGTGCATCTGAACGAACTGCATCACCAGCTCGAAGAGAAAATCTACCCGTTGCACCGCACGCGCCGCCCCCGTCATCCAGGACAAGAACGCCATCAAACGCCCCTTCCTACACTTCTATCATTCCACCGAGTCTCGCTCCGCGTCCGTCGTATGATCGCTCACGTACATCTTCTACTCTTACGCCTAGGCCATCACTGGACAAGCCTCGCCCCTCTTTTGACACTCCTAGACCTTCATTTGATACACAACGTCCTTCCTTTGACGTATCTCGATCTCATCATCCTGCCGATGTACGGCCGCAGCCTGGGTCAGTCCCGCGTCCACCCCACAGTACTTCGACACTTCCTCCACCAGGGGGTGTACCCTTTCCGTCGTCTGCCCCTACACCACAACCACCACCCGCAACCCACTCGCCAGTGCCAGATAGTGAACGTAATATTGACACAAAATGCGGAGGTGAGGCTGGTATGGCTGGCGTTGGACGGAGAGGGTTTGCAGCTGTGACACGAGCTGCGATGGTTGCCGCATCTCATTCTCAGCTGGACAGTCGTCGAGCAAATGCTCCCAAGTATCTGGACCTCAACACCGCCATGAACCACGTCATGCGAGGTAAGCGCCTTCCTTCGACACCTTTATATCATACATCTTTGGTGTTTATATTCCTTCGTCCCATATGTAACTATATGGATTAACCTACTCCATATCATCGTTTTACGGCAGTGGACTGTACGATAAACTTCTACCTTTTAAAAATAAATTATTTTGCATAACTGTTGATTTGTCTCCACTTTTTTCCATTCAATGTGTACTCACTGATTCTGTATTTACAGCCGCAATGACACCCCCGCTCTCTCCAAACTCGGGATACTCTCATTCACCTGTCTCTCCTCACCCCGTGTCGCCGTTGTCGCTTCACAACACAACACCGACCACTGGACAGTTTCCAAAGACACCACTCACACCTCATGACAAGGCTGGGATACAGTTACTCTCATCATCCCCAAATCAGAAACCCGCTCCTCTTTCGTCATCGCCTGCTGATATTCATATTGTCACTCCATCACGATCGCCTTCGCCCATTTCGAATCCTTTCTCCCGACATCTCAGCGGGGAAACTGTGAATCAATCCCCGTTTGCAGCTGTTCCTGTTCGCCTACCATTTCTCGACGCATTTGATAAAGGACCTGTAAAGCACAGTTGCGATGATTCTGACGATGAAAGTGTGTACACGACACATACGGCCGAACCAGGGAGGGGTCACAGAGGTGGTACAGAACCCATGTCCCCATCGACTGATTCAGATGTGGGGCTAGCCTATGCGGATGATTCTGACAATGACACGCCTGTGGTGATGCCACTCGATATACGCAAGTCAAATGCAGTATCTGGGATCAACAAGGTCCAATTTCCAAGTATCGAAGATAGGCACCAATCTTTCACGGTTCAGAAGCCGCCATCGCGGAAAGCTTCAGCTTCGTCTGCTCCTACTGCATCCACCTCACGAACCATTGATGCCGGAGCCAGCCGCACGCGCAGTGCCTCGGCTGCCACCCACACGACAACACGATCTGCTGGAGCGTTAGAACGTGCAATGGAAACGCTGATTGAGGAAGGAGCATCTGTCTCGATCCTCGCTTCAGGTTCAGTGCTCGCCTCAATGGCTGGGCCCTCCGGGAGTCGCGCTTCAGGAAAGCCCATTCGGTCGAATACAGTACCGGGCCCTGTATCACCGGAAAGTAGACCACCGAAGCTACCAGCGCGGTCCTATACGAGCCCACACCATCCGCATATTCATTCCGAACCCGTAGGTATAACGGGTCAAGTCGCGCGAGTACGGGAACGGTCCAATACAAAGAAGGACCGCATTTGTGCGAGCTGCGATACGAAGGTCGACGATGGGAGGTGGATTCAGATGGACGGCGGGAATATCCTGTGTGAGCGATGCTGGAAGAATATGTATCTTCCCAAGGTATGTATCGTGTGGCTGATTGCTGTTCTCATCTAAGAAGTTTCATTATAGTGCCGTCGGTGTAACCTTCCCATTGAGAAGCAGGCCGTGTCGTCTTCCGACGGTCAACTGAAAGGCAAATATCACAAGAATTGTTTCAATTGTCACGTCTGTCAGGTGGGTTGTGTGGTCTTTACGACCGTGGCTGGTTTTTTACTGTCACCTTGCAGAAACCGTTTCCAGATAAGGAATTCTATGTGTTTGATGGCAAACCACTATGCGCATACCACTACCATGAGGCGAACGACTCCCTCTGCGCTGCAGCCTCATGTGGCCAGCCAATAGAGGGTCCTTGCGCTGTCACTCATGCAGGAAAGCGGTATCATCCAGACCATCTTCTTTGTGAGTTTGAGAATGGCTGCGGAGAGCGGTTGGCAGAGTATTGGGAGGTAGATGGGCAGATGTTATGTGAGAAGCACGCTGCATTAGCTGGGTGCAGCAGCTGTGCCTCCTCGAGAGGCGATAGTCCTGACCCGCAACGCATACGTGACGAGGGGCGCGCGAGGAGGCGTATGACGCGGTTCATCGACCTCGGGGCTGTAGAGGAGGAGGACGTTGACATCCGGTGAACATGATGGACTTGACATATGCATTAATTAACCTTATTCTTCATTTTTTTCTCATTCTTTTTCCCGGACCATTAGCAAGTGTACTCTCACATCTTCCACAGGTTATAATACCCTTACACTCCCTTGCAATCGATATACCGCATATTTCTTTTTCTTGATACCATTACGGGACTTTATGAGACATAGACGAGGCTTTTGCATCTTCTCTATCTCTTTCGTCGTCCAGGATTAGGACAGAGTTAATGTTTCCTCCTTAGTCATACATCTAGTAGCTGCACAATACATGTACTTGCACTGCAGATCGACGCGTGATCTTAAGTTATCCTCACGCTTGACCAACATCATATCCATCGGGCTTCACTAGCACTTTCGACCGAGGCTCAGAAAATATGTCCTTTTCTTTTCTTGCCCGGTGCTGTGAAACAGTAAGAAGTCCATTCTCCTTACTTGGTTCGTCAATGCTTTATCTTCAACATCCTGTTTTTTGAACCACCGTTGTACGAAAGGTTCCGTGCGGACTGCCACCAAACGTGCTGGAGGAACAGTTCGAAACCATGGAGGATCGCCGGGTAAGCGTCTGGGTCTCAAGAAATTTTCTGGTGCGTCCTTCTGTCTCGCAGATTCGCCTCGCCAATGCTAGAGACCTACTATGCAGACCAGTATGTCATTCCCGGCAACATCATAGTACGACAACGGGGAACGCAATTTCACCCAGGGCAGAATGTACGCAGCCTTCCAACCCATTGAACAGCGATATTCATATGTTCCTCAGGTCAGAATAGGTCGCGACCATACTATCTATGCCACCACCCCCGGCTTCGTACGATTCTACAAACAAAAGTGGCTGCGAGGAGACCGGAAGTTTATTGGTGTAGTTCTGCATCGCGGCGAGAAGCTTCCAAGGGATGAAACCTCGCTAGGTCGCAGTCGATTCTTTGGCCTCGTCGACTTGAATGCTTTCGCTAAGAGTGGCCCATCATCACAAACCAGTGCATGAGTGGGTCTTGATTCGCCCACGGTTTCAGGATGTTGGCTATACAACCGTCGTCGCATTTCTAGGCCCGTTGCGCTCACCATAGTACTGGGCAGTGCGCACTTTTTGCCATAATATTTTTAGCGCATCTTTTATATATAGATGATAAATCTCATATGCATTGCTATTGCTGCGTCTATACCCATCATCTGAGGTTTCTTTTCGACCATCATGTCGTTTCAACTCTCCATTGACCCCGTTAGACCTGCAGGTACGTGTCGCTCTATTGGTTGTTAGCCACTGCACATATGGAACTCTAGAATTCCCTGTTGAGGAAACTATCGTTGAGCTTGGTCGTCAAGTATTAGAGTCCACCGATTCTTGGAAAGCAGGCAAAACCTTTTCAAAAGGCACTGTCCAAACACTTTCTCGCGCAAAGGGACCAGGAGACGGAGCCCCTTGGCATTGCAGAGTTTCCAATCACGCCAAGAAGGATGCGACGTTCGATGAGTTTTGGAGCAAAATTGGCACTAACAAAGCTGAGAACGAGAAGGAGTAAGTTTCCCGTCGCCATCCAACAATAGCCTGAACGTTCATGCTATCAAGGTTCATCGCTGCGATCAAGAAAGTGACGCTAGTCAAGCGAATCTCAGAGACTCAGTCCATCTGGACGATGTACTACACTTTCCCTCCCCCCGTTTCTCCGCGTGTCTTCACTGTGTTGCAAACAATACACTTTCGCGAGTCAGCTCCAAGGACTGGGTATGACTACTCGAAACCTGTTGAGCGTCCTCTGATACAAAGCATTTAGCTTGGTGGTTTCAATTCCAGTTGATTTGTCCGGGCCAGGTGACGAAGATCTTGCCAAACTTGAAGAGAAAGGCACAAAGGGACGATATGTCTCCGTCGAACGCTTGCTCGAGTTGGATGACGGCACAGTAGAGTGGCGAATGGCGACGTCCAGCACACCTGGAGGAAGTATTCCGACTTTCATCACGGAGGGCAGTATGCCAGGCCAAATATCTGCGGTGAATATCATATCGTCTCATGTACCGTGAATCGAGACTGATGTTACCTTACAGGATGTTCCGCACTTCTTAAAGTGGTTCCATACCGTTCGCAATCAAGGAACTGCGTAACTCGATAGTTGAAATCAGACCGGACAGTATATCGGACAATAGATGAGCAAATACATGCGTTTATTCAAAGGCGAGAGATATGGTTGAACGTTCTGCATGCGTGACTGTTGTGCGAACTTAACACAATCTACACAATTTTGACATCCAATGTCGTTGGAAATAGGGCTTGATTACGAGTGAGAGGTGATGTGCAATAGAGGTATGGGACAAAGGGTTCAGAGTCAATATAAAATGATATAACAGTACAAGTACCGTAGAGCGACGATGAAACATCAAGTCTCGCGCTTTTCGTCACGTTCGCGTTCAAGCTGCTCAATCCTACGGAGATGATTGTCCCTTTGAGCTTTTACCCTATTGAGATACTCCTCGTCGGATATTTTACGACCAAACATAGCGAATATTCGATCTGTGAGTGATCTGGGTGGTTCCGGGGTGGCGACGGGTAAGGAGTATGTTGGAACAGGTGCTGCAGGTATGGAAGGTACAGGCTGTGTATGCGCCACTCGGGATAAGTGAGTTATCCGTAGAATGTCGAACTCATTGAATGCCCATTGGAAGAGCCCGCACATCACCGCGCCCGTCGCTAGTCCAGGAACAGTTCCCGATCTTCCACCTATAATGGAATGAGAATTGTTGAGAGGCACAAAAGAGCGACTCACGTTTCCAGGTGTTGAGGATGCCACCAGCCAAGGCTCCGCTAATGCTAGAGTCAAGTACTTTACGAGAGCGAATGTCACCCCACGTTAACCGAAATACATCAGCAGGAGCCCCATCTACAATGTCCTTGAGTCTCTGTCTGCGCAGTTCGTACTGTTTTCCTGGCATTGACAAAACGAGTACAGGACCAACTAGGTACTCTCGTATGCCTGTATGCCCAGTCAATTTTGTTGAATATTTGACGAAATGTCCATCATACTGAAGAATGTTGCAGACGCGATGCCACTATTCAAAGCTGAAAATAATAATAGAGGTCCTGGTGGTTGCGATTTGACGACGCCATAAAACCCTGCAGTCAAACCGCAGACAGTAGCTAAGGAAGACAATTGTCAGCTTTATTAATTTGAGAATGGCTGTGGTGGAAGACGGACTCGCATGTTATGAGTACGCCTTTGGCTACCGTCTGTGGGGCTGAATGGTCCATCTTCACGCTGTGTGCAACAAGCCAGTTACAGAGCAAGCAAAGAGTAAGAGCAACTTGATGAAATTTCTGTTTGTGACCCCCTAAACGGGGGTGAGTTTGTGCCGGTTAAACCAAGCTTAGACTTCGGACATGTTCCTTGTGGTACTTGCATAATGTTCAAACGTACGGCTGCTCAAGCGTTGCGATCTCGCCGCCTGTACTCTCGTATTTCATGTACGGCACAGGCAGCTAGAGCACGACCTGCCCGGTCTGTAGTCATAGCTTCTTCTGCAGCTGCTACCGCAGGCCTACTCTGGTATTCGTTTAGTACTACTATCCACAACGACGCTATCATAACACCAAAGCTAGAAGATATATCCAAGCCCGTCCAGAAAGCTTCTGCATCTAGTACTGGAGTCACGGAGGACGATGGAAGCATATGTGCAGTCGTGTGGGGTTCCAACCAGTGAGCTGTACAATCATATGTTTATTAGATGGTATGCTCATGCTCATATTCAGGTACAACGTAATCAACCCAAACGAACCCGCAGTCCAACGGGTACAGTGCCCCGTAAATTCTAGTTGGCTAAAAGACGTCGCGCTGCGTGACTTGGCACTTCATGAGCGACATGCTGCTTGTGTAGATGCAAGGGGAGATGTATACCAGTGGGGCGACGGATTCTTTGGCTCAAGTTCCACATCAAAATCAGAGTCACAAGGACCGAAATTGACATTACGTGGTCATGTAAGACATTTTGCCCTGTGAGAAGGCATTATTACTCAGTTTATGATTTGGTTAGGACATCATTCAGCTTCAGCTCACCGAATCTCGGTTATATGCTCTATCAGCTTCCGGAAAAATATATGTCATCGCGGCTAATGCAGAACAACAACAAAACCTCCCTCCGAAGCCACTTCCTGCTAGTACTATGTCCTGGTGGACACCCGGCTGGATATGGGGAGCGCAAGGAAATGCCATCGACTTCGCGGAGGTTGTACCTAGGCAGAAACTTGGTTGGGGTGAACAGTGTGTACCAATCTGTCATCCGAGACTATGAGCTCATACCCACCTAGGTTCGTATCTATTTCAGCAGGCAGGAACCACCTCTTGGCATTGACATCTTCTGGTCGGACAATGATTCATCCCATGAACAAAAACGCAAACGCACATGGACAACTTGGTCTACGGAAGTTTGACATTCCTAATCCAAGTTCTACAGACACCGTTTCCCCGCTCCGCATTCATGTCGAGCTAGTTCCAAGGGCAGTGGCTGACCCGTTTGCTACAGCGTCTCCTTTCTCGCGTTCGGCGTCGCCATCTGTGCCGCCTTCCGTATCCACCAACATTGATGGAATAGATGACCAGCACATTAGATTTTCAGATGCTCTCTTTGAGATTCCCTCTCTCCAAGGTATCAAGGTCTCTCAAATTGCAGCTGGAGGTCGCACCAGCTTTGTAATGACAGATTCTGGTAGGGTGCTTGGCTGGGGAGCGAATGAGTTCGGGTAAATATACCTATTAACACGTAAAATCCGCTAACACTTATTCCAGCCAGATCGGACTGGGTGGAAACATGACTCTTGACACAATTATCCTGCCGACAGAGGTGATCCTGTCGAGAAACGTACCCGGTTCTGTCCGCACTAGATGCATCGACATTTCCGCAGGCAAGTGAGAATACCGGGCCTCTTTTTACCTATACCTAAATTCATTGTGCAGGTGGTGATCTGACATGTTTCGTCGCCGAACGCACAGATGGCGAATCCCTCGAATATGTAGACATTCTGACTTGTGGTAACGGACAATGGGGAGGACTAGGGAACAACCTCTACTCGAATGCTCAAGGGAACCCTGTCCGCGCAAAGAACATCAGCGGTCTCCGAGAATGTCAGCACCTCATCATTATAGCCTTACATGCACTCATAAGCCCCTTGTAGATAACGAAGCTAGCCGGACCATGTCCCCCATCTTTCCTCATGCTATCTCGGTGTCTCCCACTGGTCATGTCCTGCTGACTTTGGATACACAAGCCCATGGAGGGCCGGGTGGCTTGGGTCGGGATCTGGTCGCCTGGGGAACAAATCACGACTATCAGCTTGGTACCGGTAAGAGAAGCAGTCTTCCTGTACCTACCACCTTGGAGCGTCCTGAAGGCGGCCGATTTATCCTGGGTCAACGGAAAGCTCTGGTGAGGGACCTTGCTGGTAACGTATGGAAAAAGAGAGTCGAAGTCGAGCAGTGTGCAGTCGCAGGGTACGGTAACAGCATTATATATTGGAAGATCAAGTAGATAGTCGAGTGCGGGAGTACTATTCACCAGCGACCAATCAAGGTTCTTGTTGCACGTGATTTTCACATGACCGTGACGCGGTTGTGGCATGATATAACTAACTCTGTTAACTACCATCACGCGATGGCGAGGGACCTTCAATCAAAAGATCCTCAGCTACAAGAATGCATGTGCGCGAACGATAATATCTCATGTCTCACGCACATCGACGTCCTAATCTCGAACTATTCAATGCAGTAAATTAATTCGGGAGATGACAAGCATCATTGATCCCGCGGATGACTACCTCACAATAACCGCAGCTGAAGAGCAAATGAAGATCAATTATGCCAGAGGAAAGAAAGAGAACGAAGAGGCGTATGTGGATTTGAAAGGTATGGACATCTCTACTTCACGACTTGTCAGTGATCATCTTCATCCTATTTCCAAGCCTTGTCTCGCGTCTTAGAGGCTGCCAAGAAATCTTCGATGCGACCGCCAAACGTGCCCTCTTTAGAAAAGCACGCGTCCCATCTCAATGAACTTGACGGATCTAGGCTGTCCCTAGCCAAGGCTATCCGCGACGCGGAGGGCTCTCTAGCCAGTAAAGAAGCTGAACTGGCAGCCCTGAAAGAGCAAGCGCGTTCATTAGAGGAATCAGATCCTGCCAAGGATCACCAGGCTCAGCTAGATGGTTCTGCGTGAGTACCATGCTGGATGACATGAGAGGCAATTGACCCTGCTGCTTCTCTAGATTGCGCTTGAAGATCTACAGAGGGTTAGGGTTCGAACCCGTTCTCGACAAGGACGGGCGAGTGACCAAGATGCTTGTGCGTGAGTGTATTACATTTGAGTTGTCCCTTAGAAGTGTGCTCTAACCATTTGTTTAGGCAGCGAATCTAGTGACATCCACTCCTTCCCGTCCGATGGAAGTAAATCAGATTTTGATGATGCCGCTCAGCTTTGGAGGCTGGCAAGCTCATGATGATGTCAATTTTAAGGATGACTCTATCTGTTACTATATACGCTGTGATACTAATGCCTATATCTATTTTCTTTTGGTCCTTCCTCTGATGTCAGGCTTTGATACGAATGTACACTCACGGGACGAACCAATTTGATGTACAGGACACATCTATTATAGAATGCAGTTGACGCTGCATGAGATATAAGATTACATCCTCCGTAATCAAACCACGAGCACTTAAAATGCTGGTTCAGGTATTGTGTTAAGAGGGAATCAACGATCATAGCTGTTGCCCTTCGCTGATAACCCATATTTTCTTTTCCTTGGATTTCTTTGCTACCTCCCGTATTTTCGCCTCGATCGCATTCTTCTTCACCTTATGCGCGCGAAGCTCCTGGTGAACGCTTTCCACGATAAATGTAAGGTTTGCCGTCGCTAAAGTCATGATCTTGCTGATGAGTAGAGGGACATGTGCATCGGGAAATGTGGTCTTCGGCGTGGACGCTAGGGTAGCACGCTTGTTCGCTGGAGCCTGAGTAGCAGCAGCTGATGACTCTGCAACGCCGTTGTTTCCTGATAGCCGATTGGGTAGGGAGGGAACTGCGAACTTGGACTCATCATTTAGTTGCTGGATTTCTTCGGCAGTCTTTGCGACGAAAGTGAAGGGGTCGATTGGGTATTGCGTATCTGTAGCAGGCGATCAAAGACGGTTCAGCAAACTCCGTGAAGAACATACCATTAAATAACTGTATACGGTACGGCTTGAAAGCATCATATTCACATTGACCTATGACCGACTCCCACAGAGGACCTTTGATATAGGGGACGAGAGGGACCACTATCTTCCGCTTCTTTTCAGGCTGTTTGCTAAGAAGCTCTGCTTTCCTCTTTGGAGGGGGAAGGGGTATGTCCAGAAGTGAAGGTGATAGGTCCCCGTCATCCGGAACAACTTCTTCAATCTCATCATCATCCACTAACCAGCTTTCCAGATCAGAATCATTCTCCTCGCCGTCACCCTCCTCATCGTCATCGTCGTCAACGTTGTCCGCGTCTGCTGCGCCTTCATCTTCCCACTCCTCTCCAGAATCGTACCCGTAATCTCGGGCGAGCAGATCACGAGCGAAAGGTGATCTAGGACCAACGATGCGCGAGTTCTTCGTCCAGGAACCATAGTAGCCAGGACGTGCATCCTCATGGAAAATCAAGACCTTCGCTGGAAGCATGTTCCTGTCCCTAAGGATGTTTGATAAGTAGCGAACTTGAGATGTATCCCCAGCTATTTCAGCATCATTGAGCTGGGAATATATATCTTTCGTATTACATGGGCTGAAGGATTTGAAGGAGGATTTCGATCGGTCGCGAGGCTGCGTGAGCCGAAGCGGTCGCAACGACCGTATAATATCCTGGAAACGCTCTGTATACAATATAAACGACATGAACTGGCGTGCTTTGATGGACGCACCTTGCGCATTAGCTCCGACATGATTGAATGCTGGTGTGCGATATACGAACACATCAATGCCATTGATCTCCGAGGCTTGGGCATCATCGACCATGATAGCGTCTGCATGGCTGAACCCCGAGGTCTGCTTCTTCCAAATTGACTTGCTAGGCTCTAAGAACCAGTTCACTGGCGCCATTTCTGCGTCTTTCTTCAAGACAAAAGGCTTAAACGTCTTCTGAAAATCTGATTCGCTAGTGGAAGTCCCACAAACGGGTTTTGACGGTGATTCGCGGGGAGGAGCCTTCGCCTTGCCGAAGAAATTAGCCATAAGAGACCGGGATTTGTCTTGAGTCGCCTTTTGCTTCTTCTCTTTTTCGGCCTTGGCTGCCTTCCTCTCTTCCTTCTCTTTAGCCTGAAATAACAACATTAACTGAATAAATTTGCCACGCAAAGACCAGCGTACTTTGGCGGCCTTCTCTGCATCTGTAGCTTTTCGCTGTCGAGCTTTTGGAGTTCCACTACCAGACTACCCAAGTTTGTAGTGAGTCGGTGACATGGGAAAAGGAAAGGAGAACATACATCGATGTTTTCGGGTTCATTGGCACTCACACTCGGATCACGCTGGGATGTCGAGGCCTTGAGCTCTGTAGCATCAGCCTGTTCGACGGTTGCATTGCTCGGTGGATTGGGCTTATTGATGTCTTTAGCGGGGAGCTTGTTAGTACCTTTCGGGTCGAGGATTGCATCCCGTTCATCCTGCGGTAGACTTTCGAAGATTGCGCGAAGGTCTGTCTTGGCCTAAAAAGATACGTCAAGGAAGACAATTAAATTCGAGACAATACATGCCTGGACGCGTTCAGTTATTCTTATCTCGGCTTTCTCCCTGGCAGACTTGGGAAGCCAATCCCTATAGTCGTCTCTGACCTCCCATCGCCAAACGCACACAACAGGAGGGAGTTTATATCCCGATGGCCCATCCAGGCCATAATTCGTCCTGACCATGAGCGACTGAATGGCATGCTCCACCACGAGAAGAGGCAAAGCAACTGATATACTTTCGCGTGAAGAATCATCGTCCTCATCGAAGGATGGTAGAAGTTCAGAGCGGATATGCTTCGCAAGCGGGGTGACACCCTTCTCACTAGATGTAGAAGTCAGTGACGACTTACGTGGGTCGCCATGTCCCAAGCTCACCTCTCTTGCGCAAGCTTCACTATCAGCGGCTTATGTTCGTCTGGAATAGAAGTAAGTGGGGGGTCCTGACTCTCAATTCGCTGCTCGATCATCTCCCGGAACTTGACAATTTCTATTGAATAGAAATTTAGATTGAGCGCTCTCGAAACGGGAGGAGGACAGACCCTGCATGGCTTCCGACGACTTCTCAAACGATATGGGCTTCTGCTTGAAGATAACTTTTCCATTTTTCAACTCAGCAAGAGGTTTCTTTGCTGCTATATAGCAAAATGACGCGTCCGCGTGAGTGCATCCGGGATAGAAGGCTGGTCGACTGCTCACCAGTAGATATTGATGCGCTGGAAGAATCTGACAGGGATTTCAGCTATAAAACATGACATGCTTGCGCAGGGCATACCCCTTTTCTCTGTATCTGCCATTTGTACAGAATGATTAGAATCACGACGTAGTCGGGAACGAAAAAAACGCGCGCTTTAGCCCAGTCGCGTCGTGGATGGATTGTGACTATTGTTATGTGGGAAACCTTTTGCCGAGTCGTGTTTGTGACGTGACAGTCACGCGTTTTCGACGCGATCCAACTTACGCCGCGTGAAGGAGACATTATCTAAAGAACATCCAAGGCCCGGGTTGTTTGAGATGGCATTTTTTCAAGCAAAGTCAACATCAGCAACGTCGAAACATTTTGTAGACCCAGCACATCAACCATGGGTAGAAAAATAGTCAGTATGTTCGTTTTGCTCTGTGAATCTTCTCATCACATGCAGTCGACCAAAGACCATAGATGATGTCTCGGCACAAGAGCATACAATCGCAGTACTGCGGAAAACACTGGTCTCGACGAATGTATGCACGTCCTTCTTACTTATGGCGTGGTTCTTCCTCATGCAAAGTAGCTCCCTCACATGTTGTTCTATGGACCCCCCGGAACTGGTAAAACGTCCACCATTCTTGCACTTGCAAGGCAACTCTTTGGGTGCGGCTGATTTCATTTTGATTTGCCCAAACTCACTGCTCTGCCAGACCTGATAACTTTCGAAACCGAGTCTTAGAGCTCAATGCATCAGACGAGAGAGGCATCAGCATAGTCAGAGAGAAGATCAAATCGTTCGCCCGTCAAACACCTCGAGCACAGGCAGTGGCATCAGATGGAAATGTTTATCCCTGTCCGCCATACAAAATCATCATTCTCGACGAAGCAGATTCCATGACACAAGATGCGCAAGGTGCATTACGGCGGATAATGGAGACCTACGCCCGGATAACTCGTTTCTGTCTTGTTTGCAATTATGTGACAAGGTGAGAGCACTTCTTTTTCTCCCTGCAGTCACTGACTACTACAAGAATAATCGAACCTCTCGCGTCTCGATGTTCAAAGTTTCGTTTCACGCCTCTTGATTCGACATCAACCTCATCCCGACTCTCTCACATCGCAAGCGCAGAACATATTGACGTTAGTTCCGAGGTCATTTCTACCCTGATCGAGACCTCTGGTGGTGACCTTCGTCGCTCCATCACATATTTGCAATCTGCGTCTCGATTATCTTCCTCCACCAACCCTCCGGTGCCAATCACGCCTCACGACATCCAGGAGATAGCAGGTGTTGTTCCAACTGCTGTTATAAACGATTTTGCGAAGACTCTCGGCATATCCGTCGTCGAGGACATGGATGTTGATGACCTGCCGACAAACTGGAAACTGAAGGGTTTCAATGCCGTCCAGAAGAAGGTCAAGGGCATCATGCGAGAAGGATACTCAGCATCACAGACACTCTCACAGGTTGGTGATTCATCAGAGCAGCTGAACTTGTCTGACATCGTTATAGCTTCATGACACTATCATACTGCATCCGACACTGCCTGCACGACAAAAAGCAAAGTGCGCTCTCGCTTTTGCAGAAGCCGATAAGGCTCTGTGTGACGGTGCTGACGAAGAACTATGGGTACTCGAGGTTGGGCTTCGCATTCACAAAGCAGTTACCACATCATGACGTTCTAGTGATATACATGCCACATCATAACAGCGCCGGCGCCGGCGCCAGCCCCTGACTCGCATTCATGTTTTGTGTTAAATGCAAACTAGTCTTTTTATTCCCCTTTTGTGTTGGCAGACGACTGTTTGATCTCATGCGATTCTACTGTCAATGCATGATATTCTTTGACTTCTAAACTAGTGATAAGATACAAATTTGTTGTGGGTTCAAAACCTGCTCATCATTTGCCTTTTACCATGTCTTGAACATTCAGTCATGGGTGGGGGTCTATCTTAAGTAGTCATAGCCAACTGGCTCCAGAAGTTAGAACAGATTAGAAATCTGCTCTCTTGGGTGAGAAGTACAAGTGCATGAACACGGCATGACATTTACCTATCTTCCAAAGCAATCGGCACCCTGCATACACCAGTCGATGGCTCTGGCTCTGGCTCTGGCTCTAGCTCTGGCGACACACGCCCCACTTTCTAGCACCCAAAGTTCAAGACCGTCTTTCTCCCAGTTCCTGAATCATGAAACTCTTGTTGATGTGTCTACCTCTTCCCAAGTCAGATCTACGATGTCTGTCCTGCTATCAGAAAAAGGAAGGAACTAGTTGCCGGACAGTAAACACGCACAACGGCTAAATGAATTATCCAGTATCCTCCAAACCCCCACGCAGCCCAGATACCCATATTTCCCTAACGCCCTCCCTAAACCACACGACATTCCACTCCACCAAACCCCTGCGCATATCATACACTGTCGTCGGAAGGAGTGCCAGCAATGCGAGGTGCGGCGTGACGAGGTGGTACGTGAGCGTAGTTCCTGGGCGTGAAGGTGAGAGCGACGTCGCTGCTGAGGGGTAGAAGTGGGGCTTTGAGGGTGGAACGGGGGATGTCGATGAAGTGGGGAGTGGCGGCGTTCCGACAGGACTGGTGCCGGAGGTGGGAGTTGATGTCGTGGCTGTAGGTGGGGGCGTTGGTGCTGGCGTTGGGGAAAACCGACTCGTCCGTGGGTCATTAGCGTTGGACCTGGTGGAATGGTTTGAAATCAGGAGGGAAATTTATGATACGTACGTACTTGTAGAGAGGTCCGAAAGAATTGAGCATGGATAGGTAGTCGCAGCAGAGATTGTGCGTGGCTTGGTCAACGGGTGAGGTATCTGTTGCAACGTGGATTTTACTGGATGTGTCGAATAGGAAAGCTTTTGGGGACGCTGTGTTCTGCAAGCGATGAGACGTGCCCGTGGAGATAAGTGGCAACGAAGGCACGTACAGAACAAAAAACATTTAATAGTTCTTCAAGATATGGTAGAGAATCAATCAGTTTGTGGAGCACGCGAGAGAACGCCTCCCGAAGAGAATGGTCGTATATGGAGGTAAGATGGAAATTGAGAGGGAATTGCTCAAATTCGGGAGATTCGTCTACGAGGCGATCCATGACGCGTTCGTGTATCTGGCGGAAGTTTTCTACGTGCCGTTTCATGCAAGAGCAAAGATGTATGCGGGGCTAGCGTACCGATCTTGTCGTCCTCCTGAAGTCTTTCCGCTTTGTGCACAAACACTTCCAAATTTATGTCTGGGTTGATTTGACATGCAGCGACAATAAACTCTACGAGCTTTGAGACGGGATGTTGGTAGAGATCCTGTGCATCTGGATGAGAATGGTAGTCAGTGAATGAATTCAGCACACGTACTCGAATATCTATTACAAAGACTATAGTCGAGAAATCGGCGAGAGATGCGCCGAGTGTGTCGACGGTGACGTTTCCTGGACAGTCCCATATCTCTAACGGGATGACGGTGCTGAGAAACGATGTTCAGTACAAGGTACGAGCAGAAGTCATGGGCAAGAACATACTCGATGAAATGCTTTGCGACGCGCATGGTGGGCTCGAGGTAAAAAGTCTGTTTGACTGGAAGATCATCGAAGAGGACTTGGAGTATGGAAGTCTTTCCACTCCTGTGATAAGTTAGAACTGGCAAAAGGAGAAAACGTGAAGATTCACCTTCTCATACCCAGAAAAAGTATTTTTGTCCTGCTGGTTCCAGTGGAAATGGCTGTGCTTGAGGAAGAGCTCATCGCACACATAATATGTACTAAATGAAATGAAAGTAGGGAACGTTAGCAGTGCGGAAGCTTTGGAATTCAACAAGCACAAACACCTCCGAGCCAAGCGTAAATTATGTGGCATACAGCAATTTCAGTTACAAGATTTGTCTCAAATTAATTCGGTAGAAGTGATTCAGCATCTGAGTTCACTCTTCAATGTGATGACGGTAGCACTGACCACGTCGAGTCTAGATGACAGCCACATGTAGTACAGGCAAAACAGTCTTAAAATACCCCATGAAATACTCGAAATACTTGTGTCAAACGCACGACGATACAACCAAATGTCCATCATTTGGAAGCTCTTGATCAGACACTACCAACGCCACCTAGGACGAGCAAGAAAGTCTAGACAAGAATGCGACGAGGCCATCATGCGACAGAGGCCAAAAGAAGGCGTAACAACAATCAAACATCAACAAACAATATAAAACGTCCGGGATGATCACCCAAACCAGTACCCTTTACAGGGTCCTGGAACTGGAGGAAAATATAAGTACACCGAGATGGCCACAGTAACAAGCTCCAAAAGGGCGAGACTTGCGAGCTCGCCAAAAGAAAACAAGAAAGTAAAACCGGTTGCCCAAAGCGATCACCATCTCGTGTCCTCCACTAAGGGCAAGCAAAAAGCAAAACAATCCACGAAACCTGTCAGTACTCTCTCAACCTTCTTCAAGGTAATCGCTGGCTCCTACGAAAAACTGCTATACGGCTTTGATGGATCTGTCTCGCTCGATGAGATCAACGATGGCTACAAGTTCGAGCTGAAACCCATCTTTATATTCCCCGCACATGTATCATGCATCAAGGCCGTCGCCGCGTCTCCGAACGGGGGAAAGTGGCTTGCTACTGGGAGCGCAGACGAGGTTATAAAAGTCTGGGATTTGCGTAGAAAAAAAGAGATCGGCGGGCTCATGCACCACGAAGGTGAGTTACAGTGCTTTATACATCTGCCTCTTAACAAATTGTTGCGACAGGATCCATCACACAGCTTCAATTCCCCTCTCGCTCGCATCTTCTCTCAGCGTCTGAAGACGGTACATTATGTCTTTTTCATGCACGCGACTGGGTCGTGCTTCGCACCCTCAAAGGTCACAAGGGACGAGTCAATTCTACGGCGGTGCATCCGTCTAATAAAGTCGCGCTAAGCGTAGGAAAAGACAATACGCTGCGCATGTGGGATCTCATGCGCGGAAAAGGATCTGCTAGCACAAAGCTGGGGAAAGGTACGTGTTTGTTTCCCTCGGCCCCAGATTCATTTCTCACCTCATTTGATGGTTTAGAGGGGGAAACCGTGCGGTGGTCAGCGACAGGCTCGTCATTCGTCGTGCAATCTCAAAATACGATTGATTTATTCACAGTCGTGAGTGCATATCATAACTTTTCTGTCTATCTGTAAATTCAATATGATCGCACTTAGGACATGGTTCTTCGCCACACAATCACGCATCCCTCCCGAATACATACAATTCGGTTTAGTAAACGAGTGAATGGCTCCGGAGAATTATTACTCGTTGGCGCAGAAGACAAGAAATTGTCAATCTACGACATTCCAGATGACCCAGAAAAAATGCCCACTGTCATCGCAGAAATGACTGGACACTCCAATCGGTACGTACAATGCATTCGTTCCGACTTTGTTTTTATCATGTGTTTTTAGTGTAAAAGCGGTCGAGATTCTTCCTCTCGCACTGCCTAGATCAACCAAGGCAAATGCATCCCTCTCGACGATCATCCTGTGCACCGTCTCATCTGACGGCAAAATCCATATTTACGACCTGGCTTCACTGCCCGCTGACCAAAAAGCTGGAAGTGAAACGCTGCAGATACCACCTGTGGCTGAGTACGATACAAAAGGCACGCGGCTGACGTGTGTGACCATCGCGGATGGTGAGGCTTTCAAGCATGCCAAAAGTGTGAATGGGAAGCGGAAGCGGGGAGATGAAGACAGCGAGCAGGAAGATGAGGATGAAGGATGGGGAGCTCCTGAACAAGAAGCAGAGCACGATGACAGTGGGTGAGGCAGAGTTTTGGTAGGTTCACTGTTATCGTATACTTGGCTGCTATGAACTCATAAACTCATCGATGCTCGTCTTGTTTGCGTTTTTTCAGTTCGTTATGGTGTTCTTACTAGAACCTTGTGTCACCACTCATTCGGAGTAGCATAGTGCCTATTGCATTCGCGTGCATCGAAAATTGAGTATGATACGTTCATCAAGACAATTCACCAACAGATCCTTCATACTGTGCGACCTAGTCCGCCCAGGATGTCGAGCGTAAAGTGAGTTACTACAGGCCAACAAATGGCCTGCAAAGCGAGAGGGCGTATGAGCGTGGATACGACAGGCATTTATTGATGCGGCTAATGAAGCAGGGACAATAGACAAGAGGCGCAATACATCAAAAAGTAGAGTTGTCAGAGTGCTTGGTGGAACCATTGCACTGATGGATCCGAGGCAGGTAACGACGTCGCAGCTGCAGATACGGAAGTACTAGGTGTTATATGTCATCATTTAATTGGATCCCTTGTACCTGGCGCCTACTATGTGGTCGATTCTCACTGAGCGTCGAGCGCTAAGCCCCCGACCACTCCTCGGTTTGCCATCTGATACCTTGTCCTCGGTTCATCTTCTTTTCCTTCAATCCCTGAGCAAACCAAGTACCAGTATCGACCTTCTCACGTCATTCACCGTGATACCGATAAGACCCAACCGCTCGCATGATTATTCATGTTTCGTCTTTCTTCCCCCATCTCTTACTTCACTGCATGTTAATCCGCGTCTTGCTGGGTTATTGTCTTTCTTTCGTCAGTGTCTCCCCTTTGTTATTGTTTTCATCACTACATCCGTTGCTGACTCCGTGGCAGTTAATCCTTGGATAATGTATTCATGAATAATTGCCATTAATGTGCCAATTTGAAAATGTCATGAACGATTGTGGATGAAAGTATAGTAACCGGGTTGAAGTATTTTGTTGTAGCTCTGGGTGGAGATGTCAATGACATACTACGAATATGACGAGCGGTTCACCGATGCGTGTGGGTCATAGTCCTCGAAATGGGTGATCCGAGCGGTGTATCGCGAAGGAAAAAAGGGAGCCTAACTCAATATGTTTTCGAGGTCTGTTAGGGTCTAGTGTTGTCTATACCCCGTTTGCTCGGATTGCAGAAACCAAGCAAAGATCCGAGTAATATCAGCCGGTATCTTTCCCTCGAACCCACCTTAACAGGCTGTCCGTTCCTCACGATCTGCGCACCCCCGAGATTAAAAGAGATACATCGCCATCGTAAGTACTGCGCTTTAAATTGATGATGGGTACAGAGTGATGATACCTTACAATTTGCTTCCCAACTCCCACCTCCACTACCAATGGCTCTAGAGCATGTTAGCTCCCAGCGGCTGCGTTCAGAGGCGAAGACAGATGACTCAATCGATGTTACCGACGACGTGGATTTTGTTGCTTATTACGAGCGGGCTTCTGGCCGTCTAGTAGTGGACCCCGAGTATGTGATTGTTGCTCCCATATATCCTAAGTCTATCGTGACTCATTCGTGACTCACTAGACAGGCGAAGGTCGAGTTTGGGGAGGTAATGGCCTCTAGGCTCAAGCTTAGCCCTGATGGGTTGAAGGTCCTCTGGCCTCAACCCGCTGACGACCCGAACGACCCACAAAACGTTCGTTATTTCTCATTGTCGTGTCCCTTTCACTAATACTGAGCTATTCATTCGTAGTGGACCGATTTTCGCAAGACTGTGCACCTGATCATCATTACAATGTCTGCAGTGGTACCTGACTTCGACTCTGGAATTGGTATGTATCTCGCCCTCGCTCAATATCCATAATAGTGTCATCATGGAATACTTTTATTGGCAGGAATTGCGTCGATATTTGGCCTCGCTCAAACTTATGACACGACCTCGGGTGTCATCAACGATCTGACATCAAAGTGCGTGATGCATCCATCGTCACTCACATTCAATGACAATTCCCTGAAGCTGGAGCATCTTCCTTCTGGGTGAGATCACACCATTACATGAGAATAGCCTCTTCTCATCTGTAGTCCAGGTTGGGGAGGCATCTTCTGGGTCATGCTCATGAGACGGTATGGTCGACTGCCAGTACTCTTCTGGAGTCAGGTATATATTTCCAGTGATTTAGCCGATATGAACCCTGAAACCTTGAGCGCAGCTTTTTGCATTTGCATTCTTGATCGGCGCCACATTGGCGCCGAATCTAGCCACCTTTGCAGGTATTTACACAATAATTGGTATTTATTGGACAATGTTAACTTTCGATGAAGGGATGCGTTGCCTGACCGCATTCTTTGGGTAGGTCGTCATGTTATCCATGCCTGCCGTAAACTGACTGTGTTTTCAGAACGTGTCCCCAGGTGACAGTACGATTAGTGGAAATTCTCATGGTAGCTTCAACATTTACCAACCTCCAAGGGTCTTTATGTCGTGACGGATATCTTCCCCTTCCATCTTCAAGCACGGAAGCTGAACATCTGGACTTCGGGTTTCGTTCTGTCAGAAATGAATTCCTTTATTGAGAGAAATATTTCTCACTATCTCATAGATCGCCTTACCTATCACCATTTGTATTTGGCTTTCTTGTAGCGCGTGTGAGGTACGTCTTACGTATGCTGTCCTTGATTCAGAATATTCATCAATTGTTGGATAGCTGGAGATGGGCCTATGCTATAGGATCTATTTACAGCGCCATCGTATTATTTCTCATTGTGTTTTTCATGGAAGAAACGTACGCTCTGCTATATTGTTTCTTAGGGCAGTGGTGTTGACTTTTGCTGAACCAGTATGTATGATCGTCACCTTGCATCGAAGCCACTGCAAATATCTACGGGACTGCAATACCGATTTAAAACTTTGATAGGCGTCACTGGGTACAAGATGGCACAATACAGACCACGATGGCCGGAAGTTCTATTGGCGTCTTTGGATGTTGTTTGGCGTCCTCAGTTTTTCTTCGTAGTTCTCTTTGAGGTGAGATGAATTGCATTGCT